AACACTTCTTCCCCTCAGATAGCAAACATTCAAGTGACAAAAACAAGGTGGTGGGTTTTGTGATATAATAATAATAATAATAATAATAACAATAACAATAATAATGTTTGTTGCTCTTTGTTTGTTTTAGTTTTGAGTTGTTTTGTTGTATTGTTCCCCCACCTTCCCCACAGGAACATGAGGTAATTGTAGGGTTTGAAAAAAATACCTGTTATTGAACAGAGAAAGATTAAGGAATTAGTGTGATAACACTGACCAAAGCTGGGTGCTATGGGTTCAAGTCCAATCTGGAGTGTGGGACTGTTGCTTCACAATTCTCTAAATTGACAGAAACTATATTGCCTTCCTGAGATGTTGCTTGCAAGAAGCTAGAGGAGTACTTGGGAGGAATATCATAGACACATACTCAGTGCCTCTTCTCAATAAATCTCTTCTTTTGGCCACTTTCATAGAAAGGATACTGCCCTAGGCAGACCTTTGTACCAACCCCATAAAGCTCCTCAGTGTATGTCCTCCAGCAGAGAAGGTTGGAGGACAGCAATAGCTGCTCAGACCCTTAGGTCACACAGTACTTGCGGCAGTGGCACCAGCATGCTTCTACAGAGGCTGTATTTACTGCATGGCTGAAAAGTATAAGCAATCTGTGAACCTCCAGAGGAGACCATGTGTGGTAAAAGGATATCTAAATACTCACAAATCCCAGAACAGAAATGAATCACAAGAAGTTGCTTTTTACTGTCCTCTAACTGCTACAAAAAGCTTTCAATTTGAAGCTTTCCCCTTCGTGAATGAGAAAATCAAAACCCTCTTTAAAGCACCTTCTCCAGAGCCATTCTGTCTGCCTTAGAGGCTTTTTCATGTTTGCTGTATTCACTCAGACCCAAGCCTGACTCTTACCCTGAATGTCTCAGCATCACTTTCTGGTCTCCATTTCTGGACTCAGTGCCAGGAGCTCAGAGTCTAATTTTACATGTATGAAGAGTCTGAACACAGAACTGCCTGCAAACAGGAGCTACAGGATTGGGCCCTTTGTTTTAATTTAATATACAATGTATTGAAATTTACCTGATGTGTAGAAGAGCCAACAATTAACTACCTGCTAAAGGCATATGACACCAGAGACGTTTTATCACTTCCAGTGATAAATGTAATTTCCAGTTGTTGACTATTGCTTTCTGTGTTTGAAGATAAAGGCAGTAAATTGTGGTTAGGGTTTGCGCTGTTACCGTGGATTTGCTAAATCACGTTGAAAACTCCTGAAGAAGCTGCCTGTCTTTCATTTCTCAGAGGATCCCACACATTCCTCATCCTTGCTCAGAGTTGAAACGACAGAAGAAGAACAAACGACCTCCCAGTGTGAGCTGCTGCCTGAACAGTAGGTGTTGCCCCATGGTTCGGGAGATGCTTCAATGAGCCGATCGATTCAAGGCTGAAATACGTAAATGCCACTGCCTCACGCCACACAACACCTAACAATTTAAATAAACTCGCTGCGAGCAGCGGAACAGTCTGCGTGGGAGACCATTACTCACCGATGGCATCTGAACTGTGGGAGATGGGAGCATTTCCCAGATCTTGGCTCCAAGAAAACACCTTGGCCCATCCTGCAGCAGGCTTGGGCGGTAGCTGGAAGTACATCAGCCTCCTCGGGCTTCCCCTGGATGGAGATCGGTCCCCCGGGAGCTGGGGAGCTGTGCTGGTACCCCCAACACAGTGGAGCTGGGGCCCTGCAGGGTGCATCTCCTTCACAGCCTGGTCACGGCCAAAGAGGCTAATGAGTAGGGATGGCTCGTTGCTGGGTTTTGCCTGTATGCTTTCATGAAAAACTGTTGAAAAGTGATTGCTTACAACAATTCAGCACTGGAGAGTAAGTGCGTGCTGTTCTACTGCCAAATTTCCTCAGTTGCGCCCATTAAGAATGAAAGAACAAATCAAATGCAATGGAAAAGGTTTTTATTTCTGATATTCGAGCTGTGCCAGCTTACTCCAGGATGAATTTAGGCAACAATGTATTTCAAAAGCTTAACCCTGTTCTGCTACCTTGAATTGCGTTCTGCTTTTTTGTAAACGGAATGTGCTCTCTGTGGAATAACTAAATGAATTTGTACAAAAGTAAGAAAGGAATGATTTTATGAAATAATCTTGCCTTTCAAAAAATCTTCTTTAACATATAAATTAAACTTTCAAGAAAGCTCAATGAAGCTGCTTTGTTATTCAGCTTGTGCAGGCAAGATGAATGCAGCACTTGAACAGCTATTTGTTTTTTAAATCTGGAGATAATGTTCTTCGTAATAAGGATATATTTCCCCTAACGCCCTTGCTCCTCAGATTGGAATTGACACTGAAATGTTCAGAGAAACCTAAACTATTCTAAAGCAGTGCTTGATCAAATTGCTCCAATTCTTCCTTTTTTTTCTGTTTTTTTTTTTTTTTTTTTTTTTTGTATGTTTTTATTTCATTACAAACACTTAAGTATGGAAACAGCATGGTTACAGTGTCTCAGATGACATCCTCACCTTACCACCTTTGCATCTTCCACTATTTTGTTATGGACATTCCTTCAGTTCTGGGGAAGAAAAAATAGAGGTTATATTTTATGAAGCCCAAAGGACGTCTGAAGGATCTCCCTTGGATTGCCACTTATTTAGACTAAAGTGTAACTGCCCCATTCTGTACTGCATTACTGGCTTTTTCATTGCCATCCTCAAAAGCAATTATCACTTCTCACAATCATCATGTCTTAAAAGTTGCTGTTTAAATTGGCACTGGCTAAAAACAAAATGAAAAGCAAAACGTTGATTGAAGATACCAAGTCATTTATTTCAGTTAGACAAATGTTGAGAGTTTCAGAGGAAAACCAATAGATTGCAACATGCTGGACAGTGATGGGTTACGTTTATAGGTGGGGAACACAATGCCGTACTGCACACAGGATGAAAAACACTGCATAACTTGTCACACATGTGTTAACAAACTGTGGAGCTGCAGCCACTCTCAGCCAGCTTGGCCTCTGGGGACCCGGGCTCAGCTGGCCACTCACCGCAGGCTGGTGTCATCGACACCCCAAAACACCTCCAAGCAGCCCCTTGTGTTGCTCCTGGGTGGCTGAGGAGCTGAGAGAGCCACTGATGAGGGCTTGCCTTCAGTATTCAGTCACAGGAAAGCTGAGGTGCCTAGCAGCAGGGAAGTGCTCAGGGCTAGAAGGGGGGCACACAGTTCTCACAAGCGGGCCACTTGCTTTGTGGGACCTGTTCCTTCCCTCTGCATTTCCCCTTTTATTACGTGCACTAGTTTCCTTCATGGCAGCTTCCCAAGACCCTTAGATCCCCAAACAACAAGTGCTGCAGAGGCTTCAGCTTTTGGTACCTCTCAGGTGGAAAAAAATAGTAGTAGCTTCTGTGGAGACGCAATGAAAAGTAAATTAAAATATGGATCCACTTTATTGTTCTGCAGAGCATACACATTTTCCTGTCGTTACAGTGGGTAATAAAACGTTCTTTTATTAAAACATGTGCTGGATAATCATAATCCTTACCTGAATACACAACTTGAAAAGACTCAGCGAAGGCAGGGGGAGCTTTAAAGAGCAAAGGATGTGAGCGTGAGCGCAAAGGGAGAAGTAGAAATGTCACAGGCCTGAAGTATAACAGACAGCGGAGCTAAAGCACTCCTTGGGCATCAACACAGCCCACCGAGGCCAAGAGAAAAAAAAACTCAAGCTTCTTTAGTTTTTTTTTTTTTTTTTTTTTTTTTTCCTCGCACCCTGGCGAGGAGGCAGCGAAGATCACCGACTCCGGGAGACCAGCCCGAGCCCCGGGACTCGCTGCCATCCTCCTTGGGGTCAGCTCCACCGGGGCAGCCCCACACAGCCCCCGGCCGGGGCTCGAGGGGTGCCCACCGGGAGCCCCCCCCCAGCACCCGCCGCGCTTCTCCCCGCCGCCGCCAGGGGCCCCCGCGGCCGCTGCTCCGCCGGCGGTGGCGAGCGGCGCTCGTCCTGTGGCCAGTAGCCGCGGTCAACCCCTAAGGATCTCTGTGTGATGTAGCGAGGAGAAGTTTAGGGTGATAAATAAATAAATAAATAAATGAAAGGGAAAGTGCACCACGGCTGTGAATGAATTGGCCGGCTCGCAGCGGATTTTCCCTAAGCTGGGCTCGTTTCTTCGTTAAATAACTTGGGGAACAGAAAGGGCTTTCTGGGCAGCTTTTCTAGGCGTGGAAGCTGGGCTAGAAGCAGCAATGCATCTTCCGTCGGAACTTTTTTTCTTAATGTAACGTCCTAATTAAAAAAGACTCCCCCAGAACTTGGAAATAATGTTTAACGGAGGAGGAGGCAGAGATGCGTGCCTCTGGGCTTCCTTATCGCAGTGAAACGATCGCTCGCTGTACCTTAGCAGGGCTTTCTGTTTCCAGCTTATCACAGCGTAAGTGAAATTTTGTCATTTCCGATCCTGAGAGCAAAGGGGGATTTTCTTTATCACCCTGACGCCTGCTGAAAAGACACCCGGAGTCGCAAAAAATCTCATCCTAGCGGAGCAGAAAGACACGCGATGTCCAGACCCAAACTCTTTTTGCCCTGCACACACTTTGCTGCAGAAAAAAAAACACACAACCCTCATTTATCCCAACGATGCCCCTCAAAAAGCCACGCAGCCCGGTCTGTCGCATACGTACATACATGTATACATTCTGCCTTATAGACCTATACGGGTGTAGGCACGCATATAGATGCCTGTAGCGATGCAGCAAGCAGCTAGGCACAGCGGCACAGCACCCGGCACCCCCGATCAGCGGGGAGGAGGAGGAGGAGGAAGGAGGGGAGGAAGGTGCGGGGGGTACCTGTTGGGCTCTGCGCGGCGGGGAAGGGAAGGGAAGGGAAGGGAAGGGAAGGGAAGGGAAGGGAAGGGAAGGGAAGGGAAGGGAAGGGAAGGGAAGGGAAGGGAAGGGAAGGGAAGGGAAGGGAAGGGAAGGGAAGGGAAGGGAAGGGAAGGGAGGTGTGTGCGTGCGTGGGGAGGAGCGGGGAGGCGAGGAGCGCCCCTTCCCCGGCGGGGCCGGGGCTCGGCAGCCGGGGGGGGCACGGCGGGGAGCGGGAGGGGCGGCCCCGCTGCTCCCGACGGCTGCGGGCGGGGTGCGGGAAGCGCCGCAGCTCGCTCACACCGCCGAGACCCCGCTCTGCTTCTGGCCCCGGCAGGGGCTCTCCGACGGGGATTTCCCCCCCTACCCAGCCCACTTTGGCTTTTTTTTTTTTTTTTTTTTTTTTTCACTCCCCCCTCCCTTCCCGGAGCAGTGTGAACGGGGGTATTTTTCTTCAGGGTATAAAGCTGCGGAGACACGGGAGGGGAGACTCAGAGCTTTTCCTCGCCGCCGTTCGCATGCGAGCCTCCCGCAGCCTCTCCTTGGTCCCGCTACACCCCTTACCTGGCCAGCTCTGCCCGGACCATGCCCGCTAAGCTCCTCGCCGTCTTCTTCCTCCTCTCGGTGTTTCACGCCCGGTAAGTCCCCGCTCCCTTTTCGCCTCCCCACCCCTCCGTCTCCTCTCCTCCCCGCGCCGGGGTTTGCGAGGGCGGCTCTCCGGAGTTTGGGGGTGCTCGCCGCCCGGTGCGGACACCGCGCTCTCCCATCTGCCGCCGTCCCGGGGCTTCCCTCCCAAACGCCGGCGGAGGGGGCCGGAGAGGGCTCCCCCCGAGCCGGCCCGGCAGAAAGTTTTACCCTGCCTGCAGCTGCTGGGGCCCGGGGTCGCCTCAGCGCGCCCGGGGCTGCCCTTGCCCGCCTCGCCCGCTGCCGGCCATGAACCCCGCGGGGCAAAACGGCCCCCAGGGGTCCTGGGCGCTGCCAGCCGCCCCGGCACCCCGAGGCGGGAGAGGGGCCTGGGGACGGGCAGGGCTTCCCTTCCCTTCCCTTCCCTTCCCTTCCCTTCCCTTCCCTTCCTTCCCTTCCCTTCCCTTCCCTTCCCTTCCCTTCCCTTCCCTCTGCCCTTCCCAAGTCCTCACAGGAACCCAAAGCTGCTTCGTGGCAACCCCCAGTGCAGATCCTGGGCACTCTTGACCCATGAAATAAGCGCATTCCCCTACAGCCTCTTGGGGAAAAGCCTTTCTGCTTGGTGGGTTGCTTGCTGCCTCCTCTGTCTCCTCATAGGGTCAAAGCTGGTGGCCCCTGAGGGGGGGGTTGGGGAAGGTGTGTAGCCCTTCTTCCTCACCCTTTGGGAATGGCCCAACATCATCTCTGTGGACAGCAGGAATAAGCTGGGAGTTTGGCAGTCCCCAGTAAGGCTACAGGGGAAACGGCAACCTCAGGTGCCTTCCAAGAATCTAATTGCACAGAGGCAAGCAAAAAAAGTGAAACTCTTGAGGAGGAGAACAAAACACCTTGAAAAATGTCTATCTACTGTGTTGGTCTGATTCACTGTGAAACCTCTCCCACCCCCAGTCTTAATTTGGGATGTAGGTAGGAATTTACATCACTTGGAGGTGCTTTCTAGGAAGCAAGCTGCTAGTTTGAGGGGATTTAAGAGCTCTGTTAGTGCCTAGAATCGTACTAGCAACTGGTTATAAAGAAGCTGCTCCCTGAAATGGGAATCATGATCCTACATGAACTCGATTCTTGTTTCTACGTGCAGTCTGAATGTCTCCAGTAAAGTTGTGGTGAGTGTAGCAGAAAAAGATGTATGATCGTGTACTCCTTTCCTATCAGCAATTCAGCATCACTGCAGTGTTTCAGCTGTGGAATATCAACTGTGTGTGCTTGGAGATGGTGCCTCCTTTGAGAATGGTCCCGGAACTGCAATATTAAAACATATGGCTTGCTGTGAACCTGAGGGAGAAAAGAAAAAACAAAGGATCCTCTTAGGGTTTTTAAATACTCATTGTGTGAATTCCAACAAAAAAAAGATCAAGTTATAAAAAATACAACTCACTAACAGAGAAGTAACTCATCTATTCAAATATTTCCCCAAGTTTTATGTACTTCTGGAACTTGGTTATATGAGCTCTCTCAGTACAAGATTCTTAGGGGCTAGATTTCAAAAAATTATTAAGAAATTGTACCCAGGTCACGTGCAATTTGTGAGGTCATATCAAGCGATTTGTGGCTAATATGCAAAATAACAGCACATTGCCAGGGCAATTGCAGGTCCAAGCAATAGATGATTACTGCTGTGGGTTCTGCCACTGAGGTTACCTTTTCTCCCAATAACTTCATCTCAGTTTAACTGTAATGGATTTTCTCCAGCGAGAGAGATCAAACAGATTTGGTTTCTAAGATACCAAAGGATACATCTTCAAATCAACATTTTACTGTTCGTGCACAAAAAAAGCTGCACAAATGAAATTAGTCACGTGTGAAAGTAGCTCTAGCTGTGATTCCTGGGCAACTGTAGTTTCACCACATTTGCATTACCATTCTCTTAAAATAAAAGTAATCCACCTGTGAAGGAAAAGAGAGTCATAACTCTTGGTGTAGAGCTGTTTTTTAAAAATGTCATGAAAACCGCAGGGAGACTCTGAAATTCCAATTAATTTATGAAATGTATTTGTGTGCTTGTGATAATCCATCTTATATTCAAGGAGCAAGCTCTTAATTCTAAGCCTTGTAATACATTAAACTCTGAGATTCAGGCACTGAGAATATAATAATTTATTAATAAGATAAAATGATCAGGAAGTATTAAAAGGTCTGAATTTTTAATACTCTTATTAGCCTTTGTGCAAGAGATGGATCAGTTGTCTTGATGGATTCATAAAATAATACTGCAGATGTTTGCTCCTTGTAAGAGTGTATTGTAAATGTATTGGGTAACTATGCAGTTGGGATAGGTTGTTTAAAATATAGGATGTTAAATACTATTCTGATAGCTGTATTAACGCACAGATAATTACTTATTTGAGAGACTGGCAGAAGACAACTTCAAAATGAGTTTCACTTTTGACCCATCCTCAGATACTCATCAGCTGTTAATGGGAACATCCTGTTGTAAAAACAGCTTAAGACTGGGTAGCTAGACAAAACCAAGGGAGAAATCTAGAACTTCTTAAAAAGACTCTGCAGATGTACTCAGAATGTGAATTCTCATTTTGTAGTTATGTAAAATAATATCTATTATTTGATTTGTTATTGCAGTTCCAGAAAGGTTGAAGAAGATGAATATGAAGATGGAACAACCAACCAAAAATGGGTTTTAGCTCCAAAAACACAGGACACAGATGTGACTCTCATACTAAACAAGCTATTGCGAGAGTATGACAAAAAGCTACGGCCAGATATTGGAAGTAAGTACTCCTTTCTGCACAGGGAGGAAAAGTATCTACGGACACCGAAAAGGCATTATGTTACATTTTGGTTAGCGCACACAAATGTTTGTGAGAGTGGAGATTAAGTGTCCTTGGCTCACATTCATTTCCAAGTGAGCTTCCTCTAAATACTAATTCTCATGGGAAAATGTGAAGGTAATTTGGCATGCTAAACTCTAGTTTGTGTGTATAGTTTGTACAAAGAGACGGAAAGGCTAGCTCTAGGTCTTTGGCAGGCTTGTGAACAAACTTACCTCTTTTGTCATCCAATACATGCATATGGAAAACTTAAGCCACAGGCTCTGAGGAGTAATCAAAAAAAAAAAAAAAAGGTATATTAAAATCAAAAAGTAGGGCACAGCAAGAGAAGAGCGTGCATCTACTGCTTCTAAAGTGTGATCATAGAAGTTACGTTCCTTGGTGATGAGAAGAAGGCACTAGGACTTGCCTGTGTAAATAGATATTTTCTCCCCCAAACCAGCAAATACCTTATCTCCAGTGAAATCTGATAGAATGAAGTGTCTCACGGGCAGTACTCATACATATAGGAATACATTTAGATACGAGCTAGTAATTACCTATGTATAACATATAACCATTTTGAGCTATTTTCTTTTTAAATCTCTTTTTAATTTTTATAATGTTATTTCAAGCCAATATTTTTTACCATTTATGGTTATGTCTTGTTTGCAGCTTTAGATCAGAATGGCTGTAGCCCAGCTGCTGTCCAGCTTGTGTGACAGAAATCAGAGATAACTTATCATTTACATTTACTGCACCTTGCACGTAGTTCAGAATAAACTGGGAACAGGGGAAGCTGGAAACAGCCACCTAAGATAATTTACTGTTGCTAAATTTTTGAAAAGAGTTTAAAGAGAGAACTTCTACCACTGATTATAACAGACCACTATTTTGTGATGGCATATGTGTTGATGTACTTACTAGGTCATCCCTTTGGATAAGTTTAGATGTAAGTAAGAGCTATCTGTGGGTATTTCCCTTTAGAATTATTTGTGTCTCACAGCTACATGTTACAACAATTCCAGAGGGGAAAAAAAAACACCATAAAAAAAACAACACTATGCCATGCTATGAAAGAAGGGTACTTTATATTTCTTTTTATAGATACTACTTTGTTTTTCTGTAGTATTTACTAAGATCATATTTGATAGACGTCTCTGCTTCTATGATGGAGTTGTCATTTTTCTCTCCTACTTAGTTTGTCATATTGGATTCAGCTGATCTTTAATATCTTATGGAAAAGTGCTTTAATACAGTTCCCCAATCCATATCAACATCTGGAAGACATTCTCAGACATTTTTTTTTAATTTTACTTTGTACACTATGTCTTCATATCACTGACTTCAGTTGAAGTAAATTATGTTATGCCAATGTGGGGCAAAGTAATCATTCAAAGTCCCCATGTCAGTTGCTGTAAAATTATAGAGGTCAGACATAGCCTACAGCACTGGAAAATCATTGTTACCAAAGTAATTCCTTTTGTCTCTCCACAAACTTTCATAAATCCTGTTTTAGAGAAAGGAGTTAAATTACATAGCTCTTTGTATATAGTACCAAAGAAATACTTTACAGTTCTTGACTACATCTATCTATTTCTACTAAGCATCTCAGGCCTAAGCCGTTTTTCTCACTGATAGGAATCTGGCTACTTCAGAACTTGCACTGAGTGTTGTTCAGATGCTGGAGAAGTTACTTCACCTCTATGCTTCCTTCCCTGGTCTCTCTTCCCTCTTCACCTACCTTTGCAGATAAATAACGTTGCTCTTTTGAAGCTGAGGAGACTAAGCATTTATCAAGGAGAACATCAGGGGAATGTTAGAGAATCAGACATTATATCTTGCTTCCCTGAAATGCCAGGTGGTTGCTCACAGACTGGCACATCTTCCTTTCCATCTGGGAGAAGGTTATCACCTGAATGAGATGGTCAACTTCTCTTGGCCACAGAACTGTATCCCTACCCTGAAGGTCCCAGTGTTAATATTTTATCAGTAAAAGCCCTAGGGGAGGGGAAAGAAGTAGACTAGATAACATAGAGTGTAGAAAAAGAAAATGCATGTTTTGGAGTTTATAAGAAACATGGAATTAACCAGAGCAGGAAGGGAGAAGTAGTCTTCAGAATCAAGCAGAAGTGCAGCCTATGAAAGGCACTGAGGGTTAAATCCAGAACTCACATGCAGTCAGCTACTTGTTATGGCCTTAAATTTGTGCAGTGCTGCCTGTAAGCAAATCAGGTGTTCTACAGGACAGAGGAGATTGACCATTTCATGCCACATTGCTCTACACTCAGTTTTCCAATCTCTATTGCAAAACCACTATTTCTAACAGTGGGTAGCTTCAGCGGTACTCCTTAAGAAATTATCTCCTTTCTGAATGTAGTTGGAATGGAGTTCTCTGGACTTTCATAGTTTAGGACTGGATTTTTTAGTTTTTTGGGGAACACACTTTTGGAAACCAAAGGCCACAGGGAGGAGAATATGACAAATGAGAGTGCATGCTGGCTCAGGTGGTGGCTTTTCTGTGTTTTTTTTAATCCTTCCTAGGGAACCTGACATTCTGATTAACTCAGGTATGTCCAGGTACTTTCTGGCACTGTACAGGCATACTGTGAGTGCTCACTTGCCGCACTCTGGGCACCAAGTAATTCAGTAATCACATCACCTCCAGGCCAGGAGTATATTCATCAGTGAGTGGACCCTTGTAAACAGACCCTCAGCCACTCTCCTTCCTCCTATCCCACCCAGCCCATCTAAAGTACTGTAAAGAGTCTATAGGTCAATGCTAATATACCAGGCCAGGGCTTGCGTTTTTCTTTTTGGCAGTGCTTTTTGTTTGTTTTGTTTCTTATCCTCCCTTATGTTTGGCCTTGGTTTTCATGTAATTGAATGTTGGTCAGAACACGTGCTCAGATCTGTGTTCAGCTTGTGGTGCTGGGCAGTACAGGCATTACATTCAAGCTTTCAAGCCAGGATTTTAAAGGAAGGATTGAACAGAACAAGGATCAGGCAGAGTAGTTACGCTGTGACGGGTATCAGAAATATGACAACTTAAACACGTGTAGGTAAAAGGAGCCTTCAGACTTCAGAAACAAAGTGTTCTACCAGCAGGGGCATGTCTGACTGCATCCCCTGTGGCCACACACTTCATAGAGTTCTTGTCTCTGTAACTATCAAAACTTGTGAGGGTTTTCATTTTAATGGTAGCATCTGGTGGTTTTCCAGCATACCACAGAACATGCATGTCTCTTGGAACTGGGGGGGGAAAAAAAAAAAAAAGGAAAAAGGAAGAGAAGAGAAAGCACCTCACACTGAAGAGCTTATGCTAGTAGTACTGATTAAAGAAGTGTTTTATGGAGACAAAGCATCTTAGCATCATTTCTATCCACTTTTTACCAGGTACAATTATAGGGCTGAGAATCATGGCTCTGCTGCATGGTCTGAAAGGAACCAGTCCCAGGTAACAAGTAAATCCACTCTGAACTGTGAAGGTCTTAAAATCTCTTCCTTAGGCAGGTACTCCAGAGTATGTTTTAAAGTCCTTCGAAGTGAAGACCCATTCACAGAATACACAAGTATTTTCTAAGTGTGTGGAGTGATTTTTAAAATTTTTATTTTTTTTTTTCCTGACATCACACTGGATTAACTCCTGCCATTTAGTAGGATACAAGTTCTGGCCTTGAAATTTTACTCTCTCTTTATCAAATAAAACAAGAACAGAAATAATAGACAAATCAGCAGGCCACAGAATAGAATGATGATGATGATTACATCTAGAAAAATCTCAGTCTTAATGTATTTTATTAATACCCCGGCTTTTTTGCCATTGCTTTTTTTTTTTTTTTTTTTGATTAACTGATTCAAAATCTAAGTTCTGTGTTGTTTTATTTTATTATTTTTAAGAAAACTCAAACCACAAGAAAATTAAATAGCCCATGGCAAAGAAAAATAAACTTCAGGTCAGTTTACTTTAATGAAGCCTTCCTTCTCACCTTCCATAAAGAACAGCCTAGTGCACAATGGAGTCCTAGAAAATAAAAACTAGCTTTATTACACTACATTGTTTAGCACTTACTTTTCATATGGAATTTAAATTGTCTTAAATATGGAAAAAAAATATGTAACAGTGTATTCCTCCAAAGTAAACGTTTCACCCAATTTACAAGGTGGGTCATGATATTCCCTGAGTGAGCTTTATGTGTGAGAGATATTAGTAACTTTTTTTTTTTCTTTTGTTTTGAAACTCACCTAACCCATAAAAAAGGTTACTATGTGAGAGGTTTTGGAATTTTGACATTAGTAGGGAGAGGAAAAAAATCTCACCCTAAACTGGTCTTGGGACACAGTACTCATTTGGAGCATGAAGAGCATTATATGTCTCAAGAATTGACTTTTGGTAGCTAGTTTGCTTACCTCAGGAAGATTTTATTTCATCTTGTTTTCTAAGAAGCAATAACTAATGTGCAAAATTTAAGTCATGACAAGGCAGTAGTAATATTAACGTTAATTCATAAGCTGAGCTGAACTGTGAGCTTCCTTCTTAATATCAACTTGCTGCTGTGGAAGAAAACACGTTATTTCTCCAGTACTTTGTAGAGAACACAATCATTCCCTAAGCATCTTTAGCAAGCAGTTACCTCAGCACTCTAATTTCAGTGCAAAGGGTATTCTTAAACACACCCTGCAGTCTGACCAAGTGCTCTCCAGCCTTCCTGCAATTACCTGCGCTTTTTCCCAGCTCCTGAAATACCTCTCCCAGAACACAACAGGACTAGAACATGGAGTTACAGATGCTTGCCAGGTATAAACAGCCAGAACTGCTGTCCATTACCTTTCCCCATGGTGTTCCTAATGCAAGAAAGTGGAGTTAGGAAATTGATAAATTTCTGGTTTAGCATTTTAAAAAAAAAAAAAAGCCTAAAAAAGCCCAACAATGTAGATGTTATTTCCCCTGCATTTCAGGC